GAGGAATGCTGACCAGAGTCCTGGTTTCCACCTGCAGCAGCCGGGACAACCCACTGACTCCAGACCCTGCCAAGCACCCACTGAGGAGGGAAAAGCTGAGAGCCACTGCTGTCCTATACTTGGAGATATTTGGGACTGGCCCAGGTTTACAGAGACAACTGGAAGGAAACATAAAGAATAACAACATCCTTTCATTTGAGGACTGTTATGGTTTGTGTCTAGTTGTCTCCCCAAAGCCTCATGCAGTCATGGGGTGAGGACTTCTAGAGTTTGTGTTAACTCATGATCCCCTGGGATTATGTGTGATCCGAGGCTGGGATTATGGGTTTTAGTACTGCTGGGATTACCCATAGGTGGATAAGTACTGGGAAGTACCCATAGGTGTGAGTACTTCCCCTACCCTGGGGCAGGTAATTTGCATTACAATGCAAGGTGGGAAGAGAAGCTAGCTGCTTGAGCTGCTGCTACCCCTCCCTTGAGCTCTTGCTCTTTGCCACTGCCCAGAAAGGTTGCTTTCTGCCCTGTGCCGCTCTGCCTTGGACCCAGCTGAGTATGGACTGAAACCTCCAGGAACTGTGAGCTAAATAAACCATTCCTTCCTTCATTTTGAGTGTCAGGTATTTGTCCCAGCAACGAGAGAAGAGTAACTAAGACAAAGACAGGGCACGAAATAGCCCCAAGGGTCACAGAAGGTAATTCTTCCATCAGTCTCAGGCCCCTCCATGGCCACTGTACAGCCACATTCAGGAGCCATCTTTAAGGGTTTAATTCTGACCAAACGCATTAATTAAGGCCCACCTGACTCGATTCTACGGGGAAGAAATCCACAGGCCGTCCCATCACCACCTGGGAAGAGGGCACCCAGCACGGCCTTGGCCTCTCGGGTCTGAGGAAAGGAAGTCCAATGGCAAGCTGTTTGGCAGAAAGCAGACTTCCAGGTAATGCTATGACACCCAAGGGGTGTGTGTGTGTGTGTGTGTGTGTGTGGACAACTGTCACGAGAAACAAAAATAAAACTGCGTAAATCTGGAGCCACAGATTGGAAGGACAAGAGAGGAAAAAAAAAAAAGAACAAGTGCTCTGGTCAAACAGCAATGACAGCAAGGATCAGGACGCCACACAGGGCCATTGTTCTCGGGCTTATCCACCTGAATTCACACCTTCAAATCTACAGACGGTGCAGAAGGCTCCTGGAGGGTTTGGATAAGAGGGACTGGCAACCCGGGCTTCACCTCTGTGACTGGGTGTTGATGGGTGCGCTGGCCAGCTGAGACCTACAGGAGGCGCTGTTCCATCTCTGGGAATGCTTGCAGTTCCAGGAGGTACGAAGGCCCAGGGCATCCCCTCCTCTGCCGTGGAGTCCTCCTTGGAAAAAACGACTTCTATGGTTTGTGTCTAGGGGTCCCTCCTAAAGCCTCTTGCAGTCAATGGGGCAGACTTCTAGGCTTTGTGATTAATTCATGATCCAGTGCTGGGATTACGGGTGAGACTGCTGCTGGGATTATGGGTGTGAGTGCTGCTGGGACTATGGGTGTGAGTGCTGCTGGGATTATGGGTGTGAGTGCTGCTGGGACTATGGGTGTGAGTGCTGCTGGGACTATGGGTGTGAGTGCTGCTGGGATTATGGGTGTGAGTGCTCCACCCAGCCTGGGGTAGACAGCCTGAATGTGACATAAAGGAGACAGACTTGCTCTCTGCTGCCATTGTTGCTGCTGCTCCTCCCTTTTGCTCTTGCTGTTTTGCTGTTTTCTGCTCCTACCCTGTGCCATGTGCCACCCTGCCTTGGACCCCACGGAGTATGGACTGAAACCTCCACTAACTGAGCTAAACAGACCTTTCCTTCCTTAATCTGAGGCGTTAGGTACTTTGTCCCAGCAATGAGAGAAAAGTAACTGAGTCATTGACCATCTAGGTCAACTGTGCCCTCTGATTTCATGAATAGGAAGGGACTGATGAGAACAGGCCACTCCTTCTTGTCACTGAGAACTCAAGGAGAACAGAAATCACAACCTAGCAAGAAGTCACACACACACACACACACACACACACACACACACACATACACACAATCCATCAACACCGCCCAGGGGCAGCAGAAAGGCACTGTACCACGGCTGTGGGGACTCACAGAATGGCACCAGCTCTCTCTCTCCACCACTCATAGAGGTCCCCAGGCCAGCCTGGAGCAGCCCATGTTACAACACACTTCCGAAAGGGGATGGACGGGGAGCAGGAGGCCCACTCCCAGGAAGCCCACTCTGCAACACAGAGTAGCAGGCTCCACACAGACACAAGCCAGGGACAGAGCTCTGGGCCACGAAGTCATTCTCACACAGCCGCACCCTGCAGGAGTCCATCCTTGTCGCCCCTGCAAAAGACAGCATCAGGAAGATGCAGAATACGGGAGCTGCCAGGAATCAGGGGGCCCGAGGGGGCTTTCAACAGAGAAAGGAAGCTTCGGGATTCGCTGGCTACGTCTGGAAGTTTTTCTGAGTCTAACATGACTCCAGAATTGAAGTCATGCTTCCAGCCAGGCGTGGCGTAGCACCTCTGGTCCCAGCTATTTTCAAAATTACCTTCAGGATATGGTTGGACAGATAAGAAACAAATGTTATGTTTAGACTTGTCCCTATCCCCAAGACGACTCGTTATGTGTTTGATAATATTTCAAAATCTGAAAAACAATTGAAACACATCTTTTCCTAAATATTTTGGATGTAGGGTCTTCATCCTGTATCATATTAACTCAGTAATTAATCATCAATTCAAACTATTTAATTTCAAAAGAAAGTATGAACACATCAACGTCATGGACTACAAGCCCCAGAAGAACCAGTACCGTCCACCTTGTGAGAAGTTCCATTTTGAGCTGGGGAGATAGCTCAGCAGCACAGTGCTTTCCTGGCAAGTGCAAGGTCCTGAGCTCGTTCTCTAGTACTAGCTGGGTGGCTGAGGAGGGATGATCCAGAGTCCAGGCCCACAGAGTGGGACAGCACAAGTGCTGACACAGGGGACCACGAGGGTAAAACACATGAACAACTCGCGGAGTGGATGAGACCAGACAGAGAAGGCCGCTGTCCTGGGCATGACGCGTGAGAAGCCATCAGGAGACAGTGCAGAGGGACAGGAGGTGGATGGATGGCTACTGCGGAGGCAGGAGTGGGGAGAGGCTGCTAACGGGAGCAAGTTTCTTAGGGGCATGCCATGTTCTAAAGTCGACTGTGAGAATGCACAGACAGCCCTGGGAAAGCACTGGAAGCTGCTGAACTGAAAGGGGGTGAATTACCAGCGCCGCGAACTGCACCTCGGTGAAACTACCACACTCACACCAAAGCCTGGTGCCAAATACCTCAAGTGCATCTAGGGACAGGGTTCGGGCTCGCTACGCAACACAGGCACGGAACTTGGGCGTGCACGTAATGTACTGACAGCCTTGCCGCAGGTGCTGGTTATGTGCCCACAGGACCGCTGGGTGGGCTGGGAGCAGCACGCTAGACACTGCTAGGGTGGGGCCGCCACCAAAATTCAACATTCAGAGTACGCTTCCGCTGAACACACAAGGCAATGCACACCCTCACCAAGGCAAAAAAATTGTGAGGCTGAACTCTGTTAATCCAGGGTTCATCTACGTAAGGATTCTGTTGTGATTTACTATGCTTTCTTCACTCTTGGTGGCTGTAAGAATCACCTCTGGGGCCCGCGAGACAGCCCAGGGGACTACAGAGCCTATTTAGGCAGAGTGCAGCGGCCAGGCCAGCATTGGCCAGAGTTCGATCCCCAGCGTGCCGCACCCGGCCCTGCCCCCCCCCCCCCCCCGGGCACACTGATTGAGGCTGTGCACGGTGGCGAGCGCCGGTAATCCCAGCACTTGGGAGGCTGAAAACAGGAGATTCACTACAGGCTTGATTTACGCAGTGAGACCCTGCAGACCCCGTACTAAGTATAAATAAATAAATAATCACCTGTGATGCTCTTTCAAATGACATCCTAGCCTCCACCCTGGGGGAGGGTCCCCCAGGTGTGTCCGGGTAGACAAAGGTGGCAGTGCCCACACGAACAGCACGCGGACCGAAGTCCCCTTTGGGACGTGCTAGGCAGGGCCAAGCTCCAGGTCCTGCTGAGGGAGCCCGCCCCAGAATGCCCACGCCTTTTGGAAGCGCCCGCTTCCACCACAGCCTGGAGCTTGGTCCTGTCAGTGGTGCTTTCCCAGAAGCGCATGGACTCCACATGCACCACGGCGATGTGCACACTACGGGCACAGAGAACCGGCCTCCCGGGAGCGGGAGACAGAAGGATGCTCGGGATCGACACGGCCAACGCGTCCACTGGAAAGCGCCCCTTCTCTCTGGCTCTCCCCTGATGACAAATGGCACAGAGCTCAGCTTCCCTGCCCCTAAGCGGATGGGGCTCTAACACAGATTTTATGGGAAACCGGCCAGAGTACATACAGCCACCTCACTGTCATTTTGCAACCTGTTCCTAAAACAGCACAGAAGACAAGATGGGAAAGAGCCCAACACTTCATATCTTTGGTTTCTACAGACCGGAAGAAAAACAAGCATCTCAAACGTACACGGGAGAAAACAATCAGAAACTACTATGTACAGCTGCACATATTTTAATAACTGTCTCCATTCTTTTCTAAAATTTATGTAGGTCCAATTTCATGAGCTCAATAAAAACCCTATAGGGCTGGGGAATGGGCCAGAGGCAGAGTGTGGGCCTGGCCCTAAATCTAACGCTAACCCTAAGGCGCTGGTGCCCGCCACACCCCGAAGAAAGCCACAGAAAGCAGGCTACGAAGTGCCAGGAGGGCCTCGGCATTCGTGGGTTGCTGAGATTTTGTTTGGAGGGAGCGGTTGCAAAATCGCCATTACATAGAGCTTCAGAAACCAGATTTTGCGTGCATAAAAATCAACACATCATTTGTTTTTTAAGCACAGAAAACATGCAACAGGTTTCATCCTGCAGTAAGAAATCTGCTTGAAGATGTCACTTACTCAGAAGCAGGCACTGACAAGTCCCCTCCTCAGCTCACACCTTCTTTCTAGACCTCTCTTGTATCTCAGTCACCTGAAAAGGAATAACACGGAAGTAAGTCAGGCAGAGCTGTCACCAAGCGCTGCGCCCCGTGTGCCGTGGCCCACATCAGCATCTGCATCGGTGACCTCCATCAACCTTTCGCCCAAGCAGCTTGGTGGTATCACTTGCCCATCAGGCTACAGCACCCAGCAGCGTGGTGGCCGTTTGCACTCGGGTTTGTGCACTGTAGTCACACAGCCGCCCCAGGACACAGTGTTTAGAATGCAGCAGCCCCGTGAGGCGGATTCAGGGAGCAACCCCATGAAGTGGTGGACAGCCGTCACAGCGGCTTCAAGGTTTCCACGCCGTGCAGTGCTACGGCGAGACTCCACCACACGCCCGCTCGAGATCAGTGCCATCTCAGGCTGACCATGACCACAACACTGCCAGGGGGTTTCGAAGGGCAGAGCCCCTCCTCTTGGCTGCCTCGACCACAGCACCTTCTGCACCACGCTAAAGCACGCAGGGCTGAAATGGAGGTATCGCTAGAAATCTGGGCAACTCAGCAAAACCTCACGGTGGCCAAGTCCATATGGAGACTTGCAGAAGAGCTTGCTGGGGGAAGGGCAAGGATGCTGAGCTAATAAGCAGATGCACAAGGTCATTCAAGGACTGACACGAGCAGTGCACAGGGAGTTGGATTTCACCTGCGGCCTCGGACAGAGCTCCCAAGCATGGCCACCACCTGAGCCTACGCAGAGCCCAGGCTGCCACCCTAGCACCTCACAAACCAAGTAGCCTCGTAGAAAAGCGTTGGAGAAGCAGCTTGGTGGTAGCACTTGCCTAGCATACACAAGGCCCTGGGTTGTCTCCAAGGTGGAGGGAGGGAGGGAGGGAGGGAGGGAGGAGGGGAGGGGGGAAGGAGAGGAGGGAAAGGGGAGGGGGTGGGGAGGAGGGGGAGGGAAGGAGCGGGAGGGAAGCGAGTAAAAACAGAACAGGCCTGCAGGCCCCTTTACTCCTAATGAATGCTAACAAAATAACTCTGGTGCAGTTTCCTCAGTTGTAAAAGGACATTAAATTGTTTACCAGGTTTCCTGCACATCAAAGCAAGGTGAGGGACCATTTTCCTCAGGACTTCCCTTGTAAATTCTAGGGGGAAGTACTTGGCTGAAACTGACCTAAGAATTTGCAGAACCAAAAAAAAAAAAAAAAAAAAAAAAAAAAGACAAAGAACAGAAGCTGGACAGAGTAG